CTCTGACCTCCCTTCCCCCTTGGATGTCATTCCTGCTCCACAGACCTGGAAATTTCTTCCTGTTACTCCCCTTAGTCCCACACCTCCCATCTTCCCAATAACAGGAAAGAGGCTCTTTTAGACCATTATCTTCTTTTGATTGCTCTGAGATTCGCATTTTGCCTGGCAGTCATTATATTGAATTTCTTGCACTCACTTCCTCCTTTTGCACACACTCAGCAATTCTTACACACTGCTATTGTTCGGTGTCTGATGTCTTCTACGTGCTGATGCCACTGAGCCAAGCTCTCCAACGGCTCTCACATTCAGCTGTTTAACTTGCCAGGCAGATTCCAGTTGAACAGGGCAGAAGAACCCTAAGGTCCTGAGCATTGGCTTTGTTGCTCTGTCCTTAGAGAGCCATTCCCTCAGCTAGCAGTTCCTGTGTTTAGCCCGATGTCCTGATACCGACTATCATTACCACATCTCCACTTAGGGAATTCTGTTTCCTGCCTCTGAACTGCTGAGGAGTGCCCTGGACAGCCACAAGCTCTGGGTGTCCCATGCCTTGAGATGTGGGGCCCCTCTGCCTGAAGTGAGGCTGTCACCTCCTACATTGAAATTAGAGGGATGGCTCTAGGAATAGGAATCTAGGAATAGCTGCCCTTGATTTGCTTTAAACAAAAAAGGATGCTCAGTAATAGTACAGTAATAATATAGTTATTATTAATGTTTATCCAGGCTTTCTAGGTGCCAAGCATTTTTCTAAGTGCTTTACATGATTCTTCAACAACCCTAAGAGGTAGGTTGTCTTATCATCTCATTTTACAGATAAGAAAACGGACACTGTGAACAAATAACTTGCCCATAGTCACACTGAGCCTGCAAAACAAAGCTTTGATTCCAGAGAGTCTGGCTTCTGATTTTAGGCTTTTAACCACTGACACCCCCCACCACCCTCCACTCTGCACCCTGCCTCTGACTTGAAATGTGGTTGGGAGGAACTGGCATCGGAGGCTCTCAAAGTGATGCTGCAGCCAGTCCTGGCCTGTTGTCCCACTTTCCAAACCTGCCTGGCTGTCTGGTGTGTCTGGGCCACTTTGTACGTTCCTAGGCAGGAGATTGTCCCACCTCTTCCAAGTACGTGGTGCCTGTCAGGAAGTCTGTGCTAGTTTAAACTCTTCAGATGCAAATTCTTCAATGGAGATAGACCACATGATTAGGGTCAAATTTTTGAAAGAATAGTTGATACCTGAGGGCAGTTAAACTTAACTCCTCATGGTTCTGTTTCTTCTCTTTTTATTCAGAGTCAGAATCTGTTAGGAGTGTGGTGAGACTGCCTTGTTCATGTGTCCCAGGGCATTCTGATGCCTGGCAGAGGGTGTGAAGAATCTTTAGTGAATTTTTCTTAGTTTTGAGCACTCTAAACCTACTGTTTCATTCTAGTGTCAGTCTAATCTGTGCCAAAGATATTTCACATTTAACTTCTCTGTGTCATCTTATTGTCAGTGTGGTCCTTTTCTATCTCATTAAGTGTGGGGTCACTTGGACTCCCTAGGCTGTTCTGTCAGACTCCCTCCCCAGCCCCACAAAACCCTGAAGCCCTCTGTTCACAGCTCAGCTCCCCCAAATTCTGTTCTTCCATCCCAGCACTGCTGAACTGAGCTCTGCTGCGCTCCCCTCCTCAGCCCAGGGTAACAGGGCTGACTGCCTCTTCAAGGCCCTACCTGAATGAGCTCTTCTCTTCCCTCCTGGTACAGGACTCACTACCAGAGAAGCTGGCTGTGCACGAGAAGAACGTCCGAGAATTTGATGCCTTTGTGGAAACCCTGCAGTAAAAGTTGGTGTCCTTGAGTACCAGCAGCATCCCCTTTCTGTGGTCCCAGGAGACAGACAGCCTCCCACTCATCAGCTGCTCCCATTCCTCGTCCTGCTCCAAGCCAGGTGGAGGGGAGGCTGGTTTCCCCCATGGGGACCCGGAAGTCCCTGCTCTTGCACCTCCTGGAGACTCCATGGCAGCAGTCAAGCCCAGTTAGAGCATTTGAGAGGACTCGCCCTCTGGCCTTGGAGACCCTTTGTAACAAAAGGGCCCTCTGCAGGGCCAGCTGCTTCCACCGCCCATCAGCATCTGTTCATAAAGGTTGTCATCCCATCCTTCCCGCTGCTGGGCCCCTGCTCTGGGTCTGCCCTGCAGCTGGCCTCTCGTCTGCCTGCCGTTACCACCAACCGTTTGACATTCCAGCTGGTGGCCCAGAGACTGGCATGGAGGCACAGAGAGGAAGGAGACAGTGCTGGGATGGGGGGAAGGGCTCCTTCAGGCTCTTTGTTGTTTCCTTCAGTTCTGGTATCTTCTTCCTCTCTCCCTCCCTTTGCCCCTGTGCCTGCACTTTGGCAATATGACAGGCCTCTCCAAGATGAGAACTCGAAAGTCAGCCATTCCCACCCTTGAAGGTTGTGCCAGTCTCTCCTTTAACAGAGGGTCTGAGCAGCCCTGGTGGCTGCCTGTGCTCAGCTCCTCAGCTACATAGAAACAGAATCCTGTGTCTCTGGGATTGGGAGGCACAGCAAAGGTTCTTTTCTTCCTTCTCTTCCTTCCCTGTTGCTGCTCCTTGGTTATAGAACACAGTAAATATTTATTACTTTCAGAGAAGTCAGATATTTTATAGAGAAATTATGTTTGAGGTTAGATATTTTCACTTGGGGAAGGTGAAGGGCCTCTTCCTGGGACTGGGCAGCCTCCTGCGGAGGTTCCTCAGATTCCAGGTTGCTGCTCCGGGGATCTTCCTTCCCATATATATAAGGTGGGAGCCAAGAGTAGGGCTGGTGAGAACAACAGGACCCCCCAGACTTGCTGCATTTGAACTGACAACAGGCCTTACCTGGGACACCTACATATTCCTGGTGAGAGCCTTGGCTCTCTCACAGGGCCTGCAGAGTGACTGGCTTTGTTCTGGCAGCCCAGGAGGCCTTGGGTGCTAAACATGGTGACTCCCTAGAGTTGTGCCGTACATTGTGCCCAAGGGCATTATGTGTTCCCCACTGGTGGACCTCGGGAAGTCCAGACGGGCCCCTCCTGGGGTACTTGTTCCTGTTCTCAGGGCAAGACTATGGGTCCTTTCCTCCTTTCGCCTGGTTCTGGCCACCACCTTCTAATCCCAGGGTCTATACACTGCCCTGAGGCTTATTGGTTGCATTGGTTCCTTGTTGAGAAACTAAAGCCGGGCATATGATTGACTTAACCCTTCAGGTGTTGTTACTTGGGTAAGTCAAGTGCCTAGCCTCACCCACCTATGCCTTCTGTCCCTCTCCCAGCCTAACTGGTAGTCCTGGCCGTGGAAACTTAGGCCTGCCCCTTTGCCCCTGACCCACGAGGGGCCCTCATTGGCAGCAGCTGTTCACAGTGGAGCATCTGGCCCTCAATTGCTCAGTAACTGCATGTGACATTGTTTCCACCTGCAGAGCTGATCTCTGAGGGCTTCAGTGGGCTCTGCTGCTGCCTCCATTAGGCTGAGCCTTGCCCCTGTGCATGTGTTCTCTGCCACAAAGAAATGTTCCCAGCAGTGATGTCCCAGAGCACACCCATGGCCGGCTAAACCAATCCAGGTTTACCTCCACAGCCCCAGACTGAGAAGGGTGGAGGCCCGTTGTAAGTTATTCATTGCCCCCCTCCCCCCCCAGCCCCAATGTCTCAGCCACTGTCCTCCTTTTGAGGCCAAGCATGGAAAATTCCTCTGACTTCTAAATGCTGGCCTGTGCAGGCAGCAGCCTTTCTTCAGGACCCCATCAGTGAGAGGCCAGGGAGGCTGAACCCTGACTTTGCGTTGAGTCTGGGAGGAGCAGAGCAATGGTCAAGGCCGGCCCTTGCCCCTCAGCCCTGTACAGTAGGAGGTATGAGCCCTAAACTGATTTCTGCAGCACTGGGGATGGGGCTGGGACCAGTCATCTGTCCCAGGTGGCAGAGTCCCTCCCCTCCTCCAGCCTACCTTGTTTGGAAATACTGAGTTATACTTTAAAATGTATTCAAGAGATTTCCAATAAAGTTTTTTCTGTACCTTACAGCTTCCTGTCCTGCAAGTTGTCTAAAATCCTAGCCCACTGCCCCCCACTTCTGTGTAGGCTGGGGTCACCAGCAGGCTCTGTGGAAGGGGAAGAGCCTTGCGATGCAATACATTGTGATGTGAAGCCAGAGAGAGGCTACAGTAGGCAGGCTACGGGGCCTGCAAGCCACCTACCAGCTGTGCAAGCTTGGGCTGGCCAGGAAAGCTTTTAGAGCCTTGTTCTCCTGGGCTGCAGTGTTCCCATTTCAGGAACTTGTATGTGAATATTCAGGAAGATGATGTGTATATTAAGGCCATTCTCATCAGCTCTTTATTCCCCCTGTACCACATAGTTCACCATGCAGCCTGGCTTGGAGGTGATGGGTGGCCTCTGGCTCAGAGGGAAAGACAACTGACAGGTCTCTGCCTTGTTTCTAGCAGAAGCCAGCAGGGGGTGTGGGGCTCCCCAATTGCCTGGGGTCTATTTGCTGATTAGTGCGCAGGGTTATGGCTGAGCAAACCAGACTGAAGGGAAGGGATTGTGTGAGTAGCAGGAAGTCAAGGGCCGGTGCCAGTTTGTTTAGCTGCCCAGGGCACTGGGGTGGTCTCTGAGGAGCCACAAAAAGTAGAACCCTGTGGGGATTATTCCTGCCTGGCCCCCTAGGGACTTCTGTGGCAGGCATCTGGGCCCTGGCAAAACTACTCCTGCCTCCTTGTTTGTGCCCACAGTGGGGGAAGGGAGCTGAAGTGGAGCCAGTGTCCCAGAGGCAGAGGTAGTTTTAGAGGCAAGAGACTAACTGCCTGACAGACCTTGGCAGCTGCTGTCTGGGTTGCCTCCAAACCCCCTTCAGGCTGAAGCCAGGCCCCAGGACCAAAAAGGGCTAGTTAGGAAATTCTAATTTCAGCCCAAACCAGAGACTGGAAAGAATGGAGCCTGCCCCCTGCTGCTGTAATGGGTCGTGGGAGCCCTTGCTTGTCTGTCAGCTGCACGTGACACCAACCATGGTGCCTGGCCAAGCAGCCAGCGAGGATAGAGTTGGCAAACCCCTGGGTTAAAAGTGATGGCGAGATACTCCCTGGTGTCCTCACCTTCAATTGGGATCCCCCAAAAGCAAGTGTTTAGTGTCCCCAGGTCTGAGGATGGTGTCCTACCCCTTTAAAGCATCTCCCTACACTCCATCCCCAGAGACCTGCTGTTGCTAAGGCAGAGGTAAACTGGTGTTGGAGTCACTCAGCAGAGGCCCTGCCAGGAGCCCAACCCAAGTAAACAGCTCCCTCCGTCTCCTGCTCCCCTCCTCGTTGCCCTGGGTCACAGCCCCTCTGTTCTAAACAGTCACCCACCTCAGAGCCGAGGAAAGCCAGTGAGGGCGCCAATGCCTTCTGTCCGAGCTACCTGGATGAGGGCCACAGTTGTGCAACGGGACTAGCTTCCTGGGGCTCAGTGCCAGTGTTTATAACCACCCTGCTAACAACATGGCTTGATCCTGCAGCTCTGGCCCAGCTCCCCCTGCCCAAGCAATGACGAGAAAACAGACCAGGCCCAGCTGAGGCCACTATTACCTCCTGATTGCCACTGGCAGGCAAACAGCTAACTGTTGGAACTCGACCACTGTTCCAAGGGAAATTCTGGCCTGCCCTCTTAGTGACAAACCACTTTTTAAAAATTGCAGTAAAATATACATAAATGTTACCATCTTAACCTCTAAAGCAAAGCACAACCTAGTCTAAAGAGGAAAGGAAAACGGGATCTTTCAAGACTCTATGGGAGTACGTGGCAGGTGGGAAAGGCGAGGCTCTCAGGCTGAGGGGAAATGGGGGAGGAGTGGAATGGTTAGGTGAGGGTTCAACCCCAGCTGCTGCACAGGTTGGGACTGTCACTCTGTTCACCTGTGAAACGATGTTCATCCTAGTCACCGCAGGGCACTCACTCTGTTAAGTACTGTATACATTATTTCTGATCCCCAGAGGTGAAGGAATGGTCTCAGGTGGCGCCAATTATATGACTTGCTAGTGAGAGCTGGTGGCAAGTGATGGAACTAGATTCAAACCCTGACTCTCAAACCCATGCTGTTGCCCACCACAGCCCACTCCATTTGGGGGACAGAAGACGACCTGGTCATGGGCTAGAGCATATAGCGGCTAGTTGGAGTGCTGCAGGTGCCCAAACTGGAAGGTGACTGACTATTCACACTTCTAAGCCTGGAAGATGGTCAGAAAACTGGCCTCATACCCACTGACAAGTGAACAAGATGAGGAAAGGGGTCTGACGAGGCAGGGACCTCCTAAGACCCCACCTGCTCTTCTGCAGCCACACACTTCCCACCCGAGTTCTGAACCTCCATGCCCCCCCTTTTTTAAAAATATGTCCTTATTGATTGCAGAGAGAGGAAAGGAGAGGGAGAGAGGGAGAGAGAGAGAGAAACATCAATGATGAGTCATTAATCGGCTGCCTCCTGCACACCCTCCACCGGGATCAAGCCCACAACCCAGGTTGCATGTGCCCTTACCGGGAATTGAACCACGATCTCCTGAATGCTAGGTTGATGCTCAACCACTGAGCCACACCGAGCGGGTAATGCCCCCTTCAACAGCCAGATGGGCAGTTTCCATCTCCATTTTTATTGAAATACAAAAAGTGCAAAGGTGGAGTACATGATTGGTGCCAAGGAATTCATTAAGTGTGAATGTGAACACTTGATTCACAGTACAAGCTCTTCCCCCAGCCCCACACCTGCGGGTACTAACCAGTGGGGCAGGGGACAGGGAAAGACCAAATAGATCCACAGGCTCCCCAGTAAGCGGGACTGTGAACAACACCTGATAGACAAAGGAATGCAGAAAGCAGAGGCTAGAGACACAGGGACTGACAAAACCAGCAGCCACTCCAGGTATGGGGAGTTCTGACATGCCAGTGCCCTGAGGAGAGAGCCCAGATGGAGTTGGGCTGGTCAGTGAGGACCCCCACGGTACAGGCTCTGGCCAAGGCTGTGGGGACAGGGTCACTGCAGGTATTTCCCTGCTGCCAGAGGTCAAGGCTGCAGGAAGGGGAAGGGGGTTCACCAGGAAGGAGGGTAATTCTAAAGGACACAGCTGGAATGAGGGATAGTCATCACCGGGGTCCAGGTTGTCTGAAAGACTGGGGAAGGTTGCTAGAACTCACCTGGCCGGTCTAACTAGCAAAATCCCTGCCAGCCCTCCAGGAGTCCCCGATAGGAGGAAGAAGCCACCACAGAGCCTGAGGCACTGAGTCACCTCTGGCCAGAGCAGAGACCAGTGTGACTCCACAACAGATAGGACTGCAAGAGCCTTCTGCTTAGAATCTGTCCTTAGACAAGGCATAGAGGCTGAGCCTGCTTGTCTTATCAGGCACCAGGGGACTCTTGGGGTGGGAGTGCTGTCTATCTCAAATGGATGCTAGGACTCAGCCATGTCACCCAAGCTGCCAGTCCCGGCAGAAGCAGGAGGTTAGAACATCCTGGGGGCAGTACCACTGGGAAAAGCTGACCAGGATGCGTGAAAGAGAAGGCAGGAACAGGAAGCGGCCTCCAGCCTGGGACTCCTTAGCTGTGGAGATACCCAAGGCTGAGGGGAGGATAGGAGCAGGGTGCTCGTACCCAGGCTTTCACCAGACAGGGAGGAGCCGCAGCAGGGCCTGCCCAAGCCTGCTCAGCCTTTCATTCCCCGGCAATCGGGGGTGAACCAGCCCCCACTACCATCCCAGCCGGCAGTGATTTTGGCATCTGCAGTGCCGGGGAAAGAGGCAGGAGGAAGCGGGAAAAGAACTGCTGGAGCCAGTCCTCCTGCTGGAAGAGCCAAGGCCAGCTCTGCACAGCCCCGCAGGGAAAGGGATCCAAGGAGGCAGGAGAAGCATAAGACGAAGGAAAATGTCTCAATGGTAACAGCGAGGCCTCCAGGGCCAGTGAGGTGGGCTGGAAGGGGAGGAGGAGCTGCCCAGTTGGCTGGCTCCAGCTTCTATTTCCTGGGGCCTCATGACCCCGTCTTGGCCAGGAGCCCTGGGCTCCTGTAAGGCTGATGCCGGGAAGAAGAGTCCAAACTGGGGCTATCAGAGAAGGGGCTGGTGGGCAGGGGGTGGGCTCAGAGCCCCTAGGAGTTGGGAGTAGGGAACAACTCCCCTTGATGGTCCAGGAGGAACTTGGTAAAGGTGTTGATGGGATTAATGGCCTTGAGAGTGATGGCAGCATCCTTGGCCCATAGCAGGTTAGGGCCAAAGACGACAGCCAGGTTAGTGTTGGTCATCTTGTTCTGGTCACAGTGGGCAGAGACCTGTGGGGGGAAATCAGAGGGCTGCAGCAGGATACCACAGATCCTGCCTCCCACGCGGTGCAACTGCTGCCAGGAGCAGCAGGGGCCGGAGTTCCTCGCCCCTCCCTCCTTCAGGTGAGCAGCAGAGTCTCACCTGCACCAGGAAGGCAGTGAGGAAACGAAGCACCTGGTAGTTCTCCTCAGGCAGCGTCTGAAGGACCTGCAGCGTCACCTCCACTCTCTGGCTCTCATCAATGTCTATGAGGAATGGGGGCCCAGGTTATAGGGGCCCAGGGCTGGCTGACTCAGGAAGCCCTCACAGGAGAGGAGCCCCAACCAAACCCGCCTGCTCCGAGTCCAGCACAAACTGGGCAGAAGCAGCTCAGAGCTGGGATGGGAGAGCAGGCACTCACTGAGGAAGCCCACGACGTGGGGGTAGAGGTCAAAGGTGAGCAGGGGCTCAGGAAGCTCCCGGAGGAAGGTCTTGAGGATGACCGCTGGCAGGTGTAAGTCGTTGTACTGGTCAAAGTCCACAGGAAGCCCTGGAGGTGGGTGGGGAGAAGGGGTAGAGGAGCTGGGCTGAGCCCGGAGGCCAGCAGCCCATCCATAGGCCAAGGAGGCCCCACTGCCCGGCCCCCGCCTCAGACACAGCCTCCTGCCAGAGAGCCTCTTGCACCTGCCTTCCCTCTTCCTCTATGACAAGCTGATGCAGGTTCAGCAATTTGGGTGGAGTGGGGACCACAGCACATACTACAGTTATTCTTGTCTCCAAGTGAACTTGAACCCAGGATCCAGACCCTGACCAATGAGGGAGCAGCCGGGAGCAGCCAGGTGGGAGTGGACCCATGTAATCAAGGTAGAGAAGCCCCCTAACAGTCACATACATGCCCTCACCCCCACCCTGTCTACGCCCAGTCCCCACACATGCGATCTGTACCGGCCCTGTGGGCCTGGACACACCCTGGACCACTCACCCATGTTGTACTTCTGCTGCACTTCTCGTACAACTTGGGTGTTGGCAGACCTCCGGAAAATCCCCTCAGAGGTGAGAGCTGGGAAACAGCAGGGCTGGTGAGTCTCGGAGCTCTGGGGCAAAGCGCAGACTCCCCCACCATTCTGTCTCAGGGTTCAAGTCAGTGGGGGTGCTGGTGCATGTGGGACTTCTCGGCCCCGCCTGGCAGCTTCCCAAGGGGGCTGGGGGAACCTGGGCACGTCCTGGGGGGCAGGTGGGCCCTGGCACTCACCGTTGGCCTGTAGGTGGGCAATGGTCTCCCGGAGCACGAGCGGAATGGGATCCTGCTTTGGGTTCTTCTCCTGAAGGCTGTGGGAACAAGTCCAGTGAGTGGGTCTGCAGCCCTTCCTGGGGCCCAGGTGCCCCCTGTTCGCATACTCACTGCTGCAGTGAGACCCCAAACTGCTGGTTGGGCAGTGGGGGCCGTGGTGGCATGGGCTTGGGGGCAGTTGCAGGGCTCTTCTGCGTGGACTTCAGGAAGTCATCATACCTGGGGGAGCAGAGGAGACAGTCAGGCCCTCTGGCTGGCTCTGTAGTCACTACAGTAATCCTTGTTTGTCAGGCACTTACTGGGCTATTTTATAAGGGTTATTTTATTCAACCCTCCTAACAGCCCAGCTTTACACTGAGAAAGTGAAGACTTTAAAGAGATTCACTCAGGAAGCATTTAAGTGACAGAAATGGAACTTGAACACCCTCTCTGACTCCACGTGCTGTGTCCCAATCATTACACTTGCTTCCTCATTTATCCTGGGGTTCTCATGGCTTCCTCTCCCCTTGGCTGGCACGACCCACCCCATAAGCATGATACACAGGTGCCACCCAGTGGGCACACACAGTCCCTGCCCGGCCTCACTTGAGCACTTGGCGAGGTATCCCCAGTTGCTCCAGCTTCACGTGCTCGCTCAGCTCACTCAGGTAATTCACATAGAAGATCTTCTGCCCAAACTTGAAGCTGCCGATGGAGGAAAGGCATGGGTCGGGGGATGAACTGGCTTTGGCAGGCCTCCACTGTCCCCTCAGCAGCCCACCCAGTTCAGACAGAGGCTGAGCCCCAAACGGGTCTGTCCCAGGATGCTTGGCCTCCTCTGGTATCTGCTTCAGAGATCAAGGGAAGCATGGGGAGACCACCACCCCGCCCTCGCTTGCTCACCTAATGATGGGCTTAAAGAGGATGAGCAGGGTCTTGATGAACATGGTGGGGTGCACGATGTACAGGGCCTTGATGTTCTTCTTGTACCTGTGGAGGCAGAGTGGGAACTCAGGAGTGGGCATGGAGGGGAGGCACGGAGCTGGGTTCTTAATGTACATTTCTGATTTCAATCTTCATGGCAAGCCTGTGAAGTAAGTGTCACAGTTGCCCCATTTTACCGATTACGAAATGGAGGCTCAGAGAGGTTAACATGAAAGGTCAGAGTGAGTAAGTAGAGAAACTGGGATTTAAGCCCAGGCCGTTCCAACTTCAGATTCTTTGCATTTACCCAGGTGTGGGCACCTGACTCCCCCTTGCATGCAATAAGCTCCTGCCCAAGCACAGGGCAGCCCAGAACCTGGCAGAGCTGCTGGCACCAGAGCCACCTGCCCCAGGCCCTGGAGCCCACCCCCCGAGCCCCAACCCACTTTCGGTCGAACTCCCGGTAGGCATCCCGGAGCCAGCTGAGGGAGGGCTTGTTGTCGCTGGTCAGGCCGTGGTGCAGGTAGAGCAGTGTGTAGTCGCTCTCCACGTACTGGTCGAGGGTGTGCTTCAGGTACCTTCAAGAGAAAAGACCTGTTCAGGCCTGCCCTGTACACAAGTGGGCCCCTTAAGACAGAACCTGGTGCTGCAAGAGTCTGCTTATATCAACCCCCCTCCCCACAACCCCCTGGCCCTGCACTGTCCATCCTGGCTGCATAATCAGTTGCCCTGTTATTGTGGAAGGTTGTGGCTGGGCTGGGCTGAGCAATAACACAACAGCTCTCAGTTTGGAGCACAGACCAGAAGTCAGGAGACCAGGACTCTAACTGGAGCCCTCTCACATACCTGCAGGATTGCCGAGTCAATAATAATGATAGACACCATTTATCAATATTAAGTTTTTAGTGTCTGCCAAGCACTTTGCATACATGAACTCATGCCTTCCTTGTAACACTCAAGGCTGACGTTATCCCCTACTTACAAGTGAGGGCAATGAGGCTTAGAGAGGTCAAGTACATACCCAAGGTCACACAGCTTATGGTGGAGCCTGCAGGTGAACCATCTAACTCCAAAGCCTGTGCTCTGGACCACAGTGCAGCTCTCCCCTATACTCAAACTCCCAGCACACGCTGTAAAACACTGCCCCTGAGAGAGGATCGGGGTGGCCAGGGTGTCCCCTCCCCTGCTCCAGTCACTGGGCTTTTAGTAGACCAAAGAGCAACATCTCAGGCTCTTTATGTGGTATCTACCACCCCAAAAGAAACACACACAGTGTGGACCTCACGCGAGGTGGAGAGGTATAAAGAGAATGAACAAGAATTCCAGAAAGGGAGGAGCCCAGTGGAATGCCCTCTTTCTGGTTAGCCAGCCCCAGGCCTCAGCAGGATCACCCCTGGAGGCTGGGAGGCAGGAAAGCCAGGGGCTTCCAGAGGAGCTAGGGAAGGGGGAAGTGTCCAAGGATGTGACTAAGTGCCCAGATACCACCTGGTCTAACCTAGAGAAGGTAACTTACACAGTGGTCCGTGGGTGCTAGGCTGGGCCAGCACAGGAGGGTATGTGAGGTGTCTAGGGATGAATTATTATTGTGATTCCAATCACTATTACTACACAGTAATTTACCCCTCAGACACATTGAGCACCTTGCAATTTGCAAAGATCTGTCACATAAAAAGATGGAATTTTGCAACTATAAAATAGTCGCAATAATTGCAGTGAAAATACAGTCATCCTTCGACTGATGTTATGACCTCGAGGAGGGTAATAAAGTGATATCTATCAGAAGCTATAAAACGTTCCTATTCTTTGACCCTGTAAATATGCCCAGGAATTTATCCTAAGAAAATAATCAGAGATAAACAGAAACATTTTTGTAGAAGGCTGTTCATTGCAGACTGTTTTATATTGGAAAAACAAAAAAAAAAACTGAGCAGCAAGCTAGCTCAACAACAGAGAATTGGTTAAATAAATCACAGAACATCTATAAATAGAATACCTCACAGGATGCTCCTACAGACAAAACCAATCTGTGAGGTGAGATGTCGGAACAGTGGTTGCCCTTTGGGGTAGCGACTGGAAGAGCAAAAGGGAGGTTTGTGGGAGGGGCTGACATGGGTGGGTCATTTTTCACAATTCATCAAGTAGTGTACATACGTGGTTCACTTTTCTGTATACATATAAGTCAGGAACATTTTTTTAAAGGATGTCTTTGATGAATGTTTAATGCTTAGAAGATAAAAACGTTACATAAGATACAAAACTGACTATAGAGCTCTGTGTGTGTTAGAAAAAAATAGGAAGCGAACACACTAAAATATTAACAGTGGTTTTCTCTCTTGGTGATGGGTTTATGGGTGACTTTTTCATATAGTTGTCTACTTTTTTCTTTATAGTTACCTACATTTTAAAAACTTCTTGAAATCTGTAACACTTGACAAATGTATACAATGGCTTTCATGTATGTATTTTACCCAATGTCCACGACAACCCTGTGAGGTGGGCATGATTCTTATTTGTATAGGGCTCAAAAGAGACCTGCCCCCAAGCACAAGACAGTAAGAGGCAGAGCTGAAGTTTAATCGGGCTTCTGCCTCCAAGCTTCAGGCACTTTCTGCTTCAACCCCTAGATGGGAAAGTCAAGCTGGAGACAATCTGACTGAGAACAAGAGGACAGGACTAATCCTGATGGATGTGCCTCTCTGCTCCCAGCAGGGACTGTGACCAGGTCGAGTGGGGGTGGGGAGACCTGTGCGGGACAGAGGGCAGGAAGGATGGCGGAGGGCTTCCCGAAACCAGAGAAAGCCCCAGAGTGGTGCTTTACCATCCCCATCCTCTGACTTCCTCCCACTTGGACTATTACCTGGCCAGCAGTCACCTGCCTTGTCAGATGTGATAAAACTAGAGGGGTATGCGTGACTCAGCCACCCTCAGGCTGAGCTCCGTGGCCTGCTCCCAGCTGGGCCACGTGGTGGGCCGGGACAAGGCTCTGCCTGCCTGTCTGAGGAGCGGTGGGAGGAGGGTCCAGGAGGCCAGAGAGAGACAGCACGCACACAGCTGGAGGCTCGGGCCTGGCCCTGGCTCGCTGGGGCCGGGAAGACTCTGCACTCAGGCCCTTCCCCTTCGGCTCCTGTGCCTCTCGCCATGCCCTACACACAGAACCACTCAGGGCTGCAAGGGGTGGTACGGGCAGCGCAGGCATTTTCAGTCTCGGGGAGTGAGTGCTTCACACTGGTCGTGGAAGAGGGGCAGGGTAGCTGTGCACAACTGAGGAGCGTCGGGAGCGCAGTGCGGTTCAGCTCCGTGGAGTCCTGCACGTGCCGTGGGCCCCAGGCTGGCTCAGCCATGGCTCAGTGGTGAATGTTTGTCAGAACAGGGCTTGTCAAATTCCCACTTTCTCCACCCCCCCATCTTTTTAAAATACTTTATATGGTAAAAATACAGCAGACAGTTTATGTTCAAAGAGGGAAAAAGAAGCGGCTCTGGATCTGGTTCTCAGGATAAGGTACGCGGTTCCTGGCTGCTCGGCCGTGCACTGCAGTGTAGGTTCTCAGATGATGTACACAGCCCCTGGTTCTTCATGTGCACTGCAGTGCAGGTTCTCAGGATGATGTACACAGTCTCTGGCTCCTCAGCTGTGCACTGCAGTGTAGGTTCTCAGGAAGATGTACACAGTCCCTGGTTCTTCATGTGCACTGCAGTGCAGGTTCTCAGGATGATGTAAGTAGTCCCTGGCTCCTCAGCCGTGTACTGCAGTGTAGGCTGATTTCAACCCCGGCTTCTCCAGCCGCAGTCATTCATCCAGGCTAAAGGCATACTATAAACATACACGAAGAAACAGAGCAAATGGAAACCAAGCTTGATTGTGGCTTTTCAGGTATGACTTCGGCTGTCCTGGATCATGTATTTCTCTTGGATCAAACACTCTCATGTTACTGCTGGCACCACAGTGAACTGATATATATTCCAGTGGCAACAGGCAAGTTGAGAAGGAAGATGAACCAGTGCAATGAAACGAGCATCACTACAGTGACAATAGTGTGGCCAATCAATTCTGGGATCATCCACTTTCAATAGAACTGTGAGCTCCACAAAAGTATGAATCTTTCCTGTTTTTCATAGCTATACCCAGTGCTGACAGACACCAGTGATGAGCCCCAGTGGGACCCCCCCACAGCCTCCAGATTCAAATTCCCACTTTTAATCGCCTCCAGTCTTGCATGAGGAGATTTCTAGATTAACCAGAGCTGCTATATACATTTGGCTAACAGAATCCAGATAGGTACAGAAGTCACTGGCACTAAAGAAGATAATAATTATTCACATAAAATGGGAAAGACTACAACATCGGACACTGTATCACTATGATAATCAGCCTTCGCATTTGGACAGGATTTTACTTTTCAAAGCATTTTCACACGCAATATCTCACTCCTACAAGGAAGGAGGGCTATATGATTATCTGCTAGGAAAAGTGAAGAAAAGAGGCTTAAAAAGATGAAGACAGTTGCCACAGTCACACTTTCCAGGACTGGAAACCAGGTCTGACACCTAGCCCAGGATTGACTCCCTCAGAAGAAGGAAGCACCGAGAGAGGTGGCCTGGCACCCCCATGCAGGGAGGGACAGTAAGAAAAATGACATTAGGCCAAACTGGGGACCTGGGCACAGGTCCCACCACCTTCCCTATGGGTACTCACCCCAGGAGCTTGCTGTGGTCCAGCTGGTGGCTGGGAGGCATTCGGCAGGCACTAAACACAATGATCTTCCGCCCATACTTGTCATCTCCTAGGTATGGAGAAGATGGAGCATGGTGGGTGAAAGATGAACCAAGAGAAGTAGGCTGAGGGCCTGGGAGGTACCAGGCCTGCAGACTTATACCATTTAGGACAGGGGCCAGAGCAGTCCATGCAGATACACCTCTGGGCAGCTGCCTGCACTCAAGGGGTGTCCCTGAAGAAAGAGGGACCAGTTGTTCTTAGGGCTACTGGGCTGGGGTATAAAGAAATAATATGATTTTTTTTAAAATCACACTTGGTGGAATTAAGCCAAATATCCATCAATGGATGAATGGGTAAAGAAAAGGTAGTATATCCATACAATGGAATGTTGTTCAGTTATAAAAAGGAATGAAGTACTGATACATGCTACCTTGTGGGTGAGCCTTGAAAACATTCTGCTAAGTGAAAGAAGCCAATCACAAAGGGCTACATATTATATGATTCCATTTACATGAGCTATCTAGAATAAGTGAGTCCATAGAGACAGAAAGCAAGTGAGTGGTTGCCATGGCTTGGAGGGCGCAAGAACAGACACTGTTTATGAGCACAGGGTTTGTATGGGTATGAATGAAATTCTGGAACTACATAGAGATACACAACATTGTGGCTACTAAATACCACCGAATTGTACAATGAAAAATGGTTAACTTTGCCCGGCTGGGCACGGCTCAGCGGTTGAGTGTTGACCTAGGATCCAGGAGATCGGGGCTTGATTCCCGGTCAGGGCACATGCCCGGGTTGCAGGCTCGACCTCCAGTTGGGGGCGTACAGAAGGCACCCGATCAATGACTCTCTCATCATTGATATTTCTATCGCTCTCTCTCCCTCTCCTTTCCTCTCTTTGAAATCAATAAAGATATATATTTTTTTAAAATGGTTAATTTTATGTTATATAAGTCTCACCTCAATTTAAAAAAGTCACACCCTTCAAAGCAATTGTTGTCTTGCCAAAGAGTCACCTTAAAAGCCCACCCTTATTTCAGAAGCACCCCCTCTAAGCAGCGTGTGCTTGGAAAACCTCACTGAGGAAATTAATCTGATTACATGGTAGTGGCTCACTTCTGAACAGTAACAGTACTTCTGATTTTATTAGTAGAATTATTGACCATACTTGCCTCTGACTTCTGGACATTTCTAAAAATTATATTCTTTCTCAGGATATTCCAAAGGACATGAAGTTGAGAGGAGTTTGTAATGCTGTGGGAAAATGTTCATTTGGATATAATCTCTCTGGGATGTTTGTCACAAAACTAGTCACAATTTGAAGGTCTGACCACCTGGCTTAGTCATGAAACCAGAAAGCTCCTGAGAGATATGCTATCTCCCCCTCACACAAAGGAAGTTGTTCTTCCAGGGTTAGCATGGATCAGGGACCCGAAGCAAAGCTCAATAGGACAAGACTTGGTCCCTACTCCCCCATGTCCTGGGGCCCTTCCCCTCATCTCTACCTTCATGCCTCTCCAGAGACACCAAACCACACTTGCCTAATCCTGTTTGCTTCAGAGACAAATAAAGACTCATGAAACACAGTGAGAAAGCCCTCCATCTACCTCTGAGGATTAAGGATCCCCCAGGATTTGCTGTGTCTTCTCCATATTCAATAAGCCATGACCTTGATGATCCTTCTTGGTCAGTGACCTCACTCAGGAGTCAGCGATTTTCCAAAGTGGTTGCCAAGGCTCTGACTCTATTCTCTAGGGCTGGAGTCAGCATCAATGGAGAGGCTGAAGGAGGCTTCTGGAATGTGGGCAAGGTGGTCCCAGTCCCTGCTGGCTACGTTCCTTGGAATGGCTCACAGGATTCTCCAGGCTTGTCTCTCACTTCTCTCCAGGCTCACATCATGCACACTTCCGACACAGAAGTGCTTATAGCCCTGTCCACCTTCGGCTATTCTGAGCCTGTTTTTCTCATGCCAGACAGACCTTTCTCTAGACAATTTTGCTCCCCTCCTCTAGGCTAACTCCTTTGAAGCCTCAAAACTCATCCAAGGCATAATCTCCTTCCAGAAGCCTGTGTCCTCTCCTCCTTCCTCTAGATAAGTCAGCTGTCTCTTTTCATGGCTCCAAGCATGAACCATCATTCACGGCGCTCTGACTCTTCTGTACACTTGTTTATGTGCCTGTCTCCTCTACTGGCTGTGAGCAGCTCGGAGACAGGAACTGTGTCTCATCCATCTCTGAATCTCTCATGCCAGTCCAGAGCCCAGCACGTGGCAGGTATTCAATGAATGCTGGTAGTCTGCATAGACATCAGTCAGTATTCCATGGTATGCATGGTTCTATTTCTGAGTTTGTTCGTGATCTCTAGGTCATCAGAATGCTTTAGGAAGTGAGTTTCCCAAAGACTGGGGCAGACTTTCTCTAGACTTAAAGCAGAGAGCCCTTTGCAAGCCTGTCTGAGGGGAGGAAGGTGCAGTTCACCCAGCAGCAGATCCATTTTGAAGAACCAGATGCCACCTGCTCTCTTTCACACCCTAGCCTAGACCCTGGTGTGGGGTTCCTTCCAGGCCAGTGGGGGAAGCAGATGAGGTGGCTCTGGGGTCATTCACTTCCCATGGGATCTGACAGGAGAAGGAAGAGCAGAATGGGGCAAAGGATTAGACTGGCCAGCCCAGCCTCATGTACAATCTGGAGCTTTAGAAGCCCCTGGGCCTCCTCCTACCACGAGCCTGTGAAGGGAGGGAAATCATTTGCCTACTCCCCTCTAAACAGGAAATTCCCCGGATGTGGGGTAAAAAGCTGGGAGCAGCATGGGGATTCCAAGAGATCTTTCCATGCCTGTCCCCCACAGTAAGGCAGCTGTCATTGGCTGGCAGACTTGAGGGTTTGGGCAGGACAGAAAGTCTGAGCTCACTCAGCTTTGGAATTTGAAGAGCTAGTAACTAACTGGCTAAGCAAATAATTGGGGTGAAGGGCCAGAACCTGTGCTCCATCTCTCAGCTGGCCCAGCACCGTGTACATGGGAAACTGGGTTCTCAACCAGGGATCCCCTGATGGGCATCCACCAACGCCATGATGTCATATGACAACTATTACAAGCACATGCATGTGTCTTCTAGGGTCGTAGTCCACACCTTTCACATTCTTAAAGACCAGCTTAAGAATCACTTCACTGCACTGTACACTCCTTGAAGAAAGGAAAGTATTTTTCCTCAATGAGTCCTCAGTGCTGACTATGGGGCTTGTTCCGGAATAGGTGTTCTAAAAATGCACGGTGAACAGTCAGGATGGGGGTGGGGGACAAAAGGAGGAGGAGTGAGGGACTAGATGGCAAGACCTCCCCACCCCACAGGCGAGGAATGAGATATGGGCAACCTGAGGGTCTCACCCCCGCCCTCACGGAGTGCCCAAATCTTTGGGTGATCCAGGCATTTGCCAGCAGGCAGGGTGACTGCTGCTACAAGAACATATAAAAAGACCCAGAACTCCCCTCCTGACCTTAGAAGAGAGTAGACTTCTGCCCTGGAGACTGAAGGGACAGAAGGGACAGGAGGAGCCGGCAGCACTAGTGTTCCCAGAGCTGGGGGAGAAGGCTCAAGGAGGAGGAGGCGCAGTGTTGGTGGAAAGCACCAGAAAAAGACCAGCCGCCTGAGAATGAAGCCGCTGCATTCCCCAGATACCAATCAGGAACTCTCCCAGGGTGGCCTGGGTGTTAATCAGCAACAGCAGCTCCTCCAGCTCCTCCAGCAGGCATTCTGGGAACTGCCAGGCAGCCAGACCAGCCACCTGCCCCGCCCACAACCTGCAGAGCAGGCCAAGGAGATGGGAGGTGGGGGCTGGGCAAAGTGCTGGAGCCGGCTCATACATTTGTTAAATTGCTAAATGGTCAGGAATAGTGCAAGACAGTTCACATCATGTTGGTAGCTTGAAATTTGCCATGGCAGAAATTTTAAATGGTACAAATAACAGCTTTTCCCCACCCCTTCAGTAGGGCCACGTTTACCAGAGCACCACTGGGAAGAACCCATGTGGACCAAGTCAAATATGACAGTGGAGCAGAGAACAGAGGCTGCAGAGGAGGCGGGGACATAACCCAGTCTCCATTCCAACACAGGCTCTTTCTCTGGTTCTACTGACAGGAAGCTGACCCCCAGGATATCACTGTGGTCTCATCAAACAACTCTCACTCTGGCAGTGCCAATCCAAACTCCTCTCAGCAGCCAGAGAGGCATAGGCACAGGGGGGACAACCTCAGCAGAGGAGCCCTGTGCCTGCAGCACTCAGCCAGGCTTGAGGAGCCAGCATGCAGGCCGGGCCATTGCTCAGAGCCAGCTAGTCCCCTCCCCACCTCTGTGGACAAGGCCTCTTCCTCCCTGATACTCCTTTCCCTTTGCTTCTGGATATATTGCCACACAGCCCCCACCCATAATTCTTTGCTATTTCCGGCTCCCAGGCACCGCCCAGTGCCAGCTCCCTAGAGTGGGGCTGCAATTAAGCTGCCCCAAGAACCCTTCCTGATCCACAGCCCAGAGGCCACAGCCCAGAGAGGCCAAGCAGGGAGAGCCAGGAACACACCTACCTGGCTGGGCCCCCTCAGGCTCATCACACCCTGGGGAAACAGAAACATGTTGCAGCTCTGCTTGCAGGGAAGCAGGGGTCACCCATGGGGAGGGGACAGCCTGCTCTGCCTGGTGACTTGGCCACACAGGATGGAGACTCCTTCACACCAGGCACCCCCCACGCCCCAATTAAGTCCGTCTCTGGTAGTGAGGAAAGACAGTTCTGAACCTGCAGGTGACTCTCCTGTGCCCAGGTCAGGACTATATCAGGAAAGAACTCTCAGCCTTGCTTCTGTTGGGGTGAGACAGGCCAGAGCCAAGGCTCCCAGACCAGGGCAGGCTCCGGGAACACAGATGCCATGGAAACACGTTTGACATTAGGTATAACCTTCTGAGCCCAGCATTCAGGAGAGATGGAGGTTCCTGCTGCTTCCCTGTGGTCAGGTGCCTCAGGGCCCCCACAGCCAGCACCACACTGGGTCCAGGGACCATGTGCTCCCTGCTTCCCTTGTCCACTCCCTGCTCCCCTTGTCCATGCTGTCACCTTTGCTTACAGCTGCCTGGCCTCACTAGCAAGGGTGGATGGACAACCATTAGGGAAAAGACAAAGGATCTTGCAATTCATTTTCTCTTCTAGCAGTAAGACCCTAAGGGCAGAGATCAGGTCATCAACATCCCTACTACCTCACTGCTCCTGGAGTCTTCCGGGTCCTGCAATATGAACAGGAAGGTGGCAGCGCACTGCAGCCAAGACCCAGGGGACACTCTGCACCCATTCTCAACAGGGCAGCACATCTGCTGGGAACCTGATGCTCAGGGGTCATGTGGCCCCTAACTTCCAGACTTCCTCGGAGATAGGAGGGACTGGCACCTCCCTGCTCTCCAGTAACTGGTGGGGTAGAAAAGCTGACATGAGGGCAGAGGAAAGGGAGGTGAATGACCACTTATTCAGGGCTAACTATGTGGTCTGGGCTGGGCCCTGACATACATTCACTACTGCAGTCCTCTCAACAACCCTGTCAGGAAGAGTACAGAGAGCAAAGCTGGAAATCAAACCGAGAGTTTCTGACTTCAAAGTCACAAGGCCACACTGCCTCCCACACACCATCCGCCAATGGAGACAATGGGGTCACAGGTCAGGATGAGGTTGCAGGTGAACAGACCAAGTGGTCACCACAATCAAGTCTGTGAGTTTCAAGAATGGTGCTCAGGAGCCCCAGGGTCAGGGGTCAGACCACAGAATGGGCACTGCCCATCCCCCAGTCCCTTCTCCCGTGGCATGAGGGGCTGGTCTCCTTAAGCAAGGAGTACAGACCATGAGGAAAAGGTCCAAACCTGGGTGTGCTCACCTGCCACCTCCACAATCTGGTGCCGGGCGATGTCGTAGTAAGGGTCATCCCACTTCAGGTGTGTGACAGGTTCTGGGGAGCTGCTTTTGGAGTCATCTGAGGAACATGGCAAAGTCAGGGGATAATCTGGGGGGAGGGGGCAGCACAGTATTCTTGCTGATACTTGTGCTCTTTGGCCCTCCCCCCAGTAAGGCTTGTGCTCCCCGCCCCACGCTGGGGCTGGTCAGCTTGCCCCCACCCTGCCCTCCTGGAGTTTCCCCATCTAAGGTGTCTGTGGCTGCCTGAGAGCCAGTGGCGCCCACCTGACTTGGGAAAGTCAGGCATTTCATCAGAGGGCCAGTTCTTCTCATCAATGGAGGCTAACTTCAGCTGGTTCAGAGCCTGGCTGGTGTCATCCAAGGTCAGGTCATCCTGCAGCTCTGAAAGCGGGTCCATAGCCAAGCCTGTCCCCCACAGCCTCACCCCACAGAACCTGAAGAGAAACCTGGGAGAGAGCAGTGAGGTAGCAGGTCAGCAACACCCTTTTTACACCTATAAGTGCAATAGCAAACCTCCTGCCCCCATTCTTTCCTCCCCAAGCTCCCCTGTCCCTGTTCCTCAATGCTTCTTCTTGCCAAGAGTTCCATGTAGCTCCTGGTTCTCCTGGCGCCACAATTTTTTGGCCTGTTGCCAGAAAAAGCAGCTGGGAAAGAGGATGGCACAGCTCAGTGCCTGCCTTCAAGTCCTCCAGCTGGACAGGGAAGAGTCGTGCCAGGCCCTGCACTGCTCACCACCCAGCCGGCTCAGTCATGTAGTCCCAGCTGCGAAGGGCAGAGGATCGAGTTCCTCTCCTCAGGGGTCATAGCACAGAAGCTTCCGGCCCCAGCAGTTATAGGGTAGAGATGGTATAAAAATCTAAGGAGCACAGGGATGCTCCAAACCCAAAAGGTCAGCTGTGGCCCTGGCTACTCCATCTTTGACCCCTCACCTGGGAAAAAGAGGTGGCCAGAGACCACAGGGTCCCAGAAAATAGGCCATGGCTGAGGGCTCCTGATGGATTTGGCCTAGGAGAGGAACCAGGAGCAGAGGATGCAAACTGCCTGCCAGTCATAGCAGACAATCCACAGGATCCTGGGGACTCCAAGCCCACTCTAATCTGCGGGGGCGCTCCAGACGCTAACTTCAAGGTGGCCAAGCGTTGGAGGGCACAGATGGGAAAGGGGGAGGTTCGTGACATCATCAGAATGCTGAGATACAGGAGGTGAAAAAGAAAACAGCAGCTATAGCAAGCAGGGAGAAGAGCCAATTCCGAAACTGCCTTGGCCCAGGTCTGGGGTCTCGCCAAAGGATGTGGCTGCATGCAGCCTGGAGGCAGCTCTCTGCCCTCAGCCCTAACAGGAAGTACATCCCTCTCCCATCACCAGCTCACCACATGGGTGAGGGAGGGGAGTTTTAATTCAATCCACTTAGTCCAACCCCAAAGAAGCTGATCTAAGTTTGCTGCATTCCAGGAGTCCAAAAAAATGACATATATGGTCAGAGAACAAGCAGGGCCGATAAGGAGTGCAGACAAGACCCAGGCAGGGGTAGGGAGAAGAGAGAACTGCCAGCAGGGATTCAGACCCTGAACACCTCTGGGCTCTGACGCAACGTGACAGCCTCCTTCTGTACATGTCACAGCTGGTCGTCCGAGGACTCTGGATGGTCAATTGGCTCCCTGTGCCTAGCAACAACCATCCTGTCACCAGGGCAACCACAATGATTCAGTGGCAAAAGCTGTTTCAAGCTCCTGAGCCAAAGCTGAGCAATCAAACAGCCAAAAAGACCCAACAACAAAAAACCTTTCTCTGCTTCCTTTCCTCCGGCCTTTCCTGCTACCCATATGCATCCCTGCTGCTTACCACCAAAATATAAGTCCCTTCCCACAAGCGCAAAGAATGATGACCCTCTCGGGTTTGAGTTTGGGAATGCAGTTCTCTCAGCGAGTGCTGCTGTGCCCATCACCCTGGCTCCCCCATTCCCCATCAATGCTCTAAGGCAGGCAAACCTCAGTCTTGAGGAATCCACCCCGGATTCATCTATATACTCCTCTCCACATTCAACCAGGGGGCTGTGAGGGCTCTGCCAAAAGCCTCCCAGGCAGGATATCAGGGACAGAATACAGCTCAAAGTAACCCTCTCCAGACCTGAGCCTTCTCTCCATCCCTTTTTTCTCTCACAGCCCAGGCACCAAGTGCTCCTTCAGCCCTGCCCACAGCTATGCAGAGAAGTCCTTCTGCACACAGTAGGTGCTTGATGCAATGAAAAAGTCATGGGATGAGGTATTTGGAGAACTGAATTATAGTTCTGCCTAAACCAATGAGTTGCAGTCCTTTTCCCATCTGGTCCTAAATTTCCTCATCTATAGAAGTGAAGGCTCCTCCCAGAAATAGAATTCTTCAGTGTTTTAAAATACTTGTGCTGAAGCGAACAACAACATTAGAAGGAACAGCTGGGAACTGAAGTCTGTGTGAGGGAGGGAAAGGGTCATCCTCTAAAAGGAGCCGAACTTGAACTCCACCTCTTTTCCAGTAACTCCTCTATTTTGTCAGTTCTCCCAGAACTGACCCCCACCCCCTCCATAACCTCCTCTTTCAGAATCACTCATCACAGTTGTTCCCACCTCCCAGCCAGACTGGCACCCTCACCACCCTCCAACCCACAGCTGTTGCCCCCTGTGAGCCTGGAAGCTCAGCTCCCATTCAGTGGGAAGGTGAGCAAAGCTAGTGAGGGGACATTCTAATATATAGAGGAAGCAAAGTATCCTGGCTGCCTAAGACTCCAGGCATCTACAAGCCCTGAAATTTTGAAGAAATCTGTAGCCTTTTTCCCTATGAAAAATCAGCACTTGCATGAAATCTTGCACGGAACTTTAAGTGGTTCACATGCCCTCTGAGGATCCCTGTTTAAGAACCCCTGACCTATTCAGAATTATATCTGACACATGTAGCTGCTCAGTCATTTGTTGAATGACTGACTGAATTAATTCATCTCCTCAGTAGAGAAGGGAACCAACGTTTGTTGAGGGCTGTATAGCGCGATGAACTGGACACAGTCATCTTTTAACTTCACATGAGCACCAATGAGGCATGTACTACTGGGCCCATTTTACAGTGTTAGGACAGTGAGGTCCAGAAAAATAAGCAAATTGACTCAAACAGCAGAGTCAAGATTTGAATTCATGTCTGTCTAAGATGGTCTCATTGTGCAGGTCAATCCCTCAGTACTTCTCTAAGTAACTGTCATTCATGCGACTGTCAGGGTTCAGAGAGGTTCCACAAAAAGGCAAAATAAAGCCTCTGCCCTAATCTGCCCCAAGAATAACTAAGGTAACAACTTGAAATCGCATTTTCTGGCGTTGGGATCGTCCTCCTAGGAGCTCCAGAACTGTGAAAACACAAGTCTTACAATCCAACAGCAAGACTTTCAACGTCAATCGCCTTTGCATAGAGCTCCATGGTTTACAAAACCCGGATTGGGTGCACTGATTATGAAACAGAGAAGAAAGCGCGGTCTAATGGGTGGCAGGGTGAAACACTTCCCCCAAATTTCTTTCTCTTCGCGTTTCGCCAGATCGGAGCAGGGAGACTTCCCCTTCCCATGGGCTTGCTCGATAACAGCGATCTGACCTGGACTCTGCACTAGGTAGGGCAGGAGGCAGGCGGCGAAGGCAGCTAAATTCTCTCACTGCAGACCCGGGAGTGGGGCAGGATTCCCGCAGCAGGAAGGCGAGGCTCCCAGGCCCCATTCCACCCCTCCTCCCTTCCTCGGATCCTCTTGGGCCCTCCCCATCCGGACCCCATCCCTTCAGATGACCAGGCCAGTCCCTTCCCTTCCCGCCCCCCCACCAACAAGGAGACCCCGCGCCCAGCAGCTCACCGTGGTCAGGCACCGCTCCCTTGGCCACGCCTGTCAAAGCTCGGCAAACATCCGGCTCTTCTGCAGAACGGGAACCGCCCCCTCCGGGGCGCCTCACGCCCCAACCACTTCCGCCACACCTCCAACCCACTTCCGACCCGTTCCCCGGTCCAAACTTGGCCTTTCCTGGAGCCAAGCCCACTTCCTGTGCGTGCCCGCCTGGAATGAGGACAGCAAAACTGTCCGACTCATCCCTCCCGAAAGGAGGCGGCCGGAACAATTAGTTCCCCTCTCCTGAGGCTCCAGTCTCTGGTGGACCGCCGGAATCCTAAACTCGCGTCGTTCTCTGACAGAGCTTTGCTTCTCCAGCACTGCTGAACTCCCGGCGCTGTGCACCAACGAAGTCTGACTCTTACGATTCTTCCCGGAGAGTAAATTTGGCAGTCCGTGACTGTTTCCGGGAGGAGCTGAGAGAGCGATGCTCACTTCCGGCGGACGGAGGCTTTCAGACCCTGGATGGAGGAGGCGGCGGACCAGCCCGTGGAGAGGGAGAGACTGCAGTTCGGTGAGTGACCTGCGATGTCGCCGACCCTCGGCCCTGCCTAGATACACCTGACGTTCTCTGTTCAGCTCTTTGCCCCCGACCCTTTTCCTCCCGAGCCCGGAGCCTCCTCTGGTGCCCTCAGAGTCTCTGGGGGGCTTCTTCAGAGCCCTGGAACCCCCTCAAACCTCTCAGAGGCTCCCTTGGAGCCCTCATCGGTCCCCCAGACTCCGGAGGCCAGACTGGACGTGCGGTTTTCACCCCTGCCTCCTACCCCACGACCTCCTGGGCCACTCCTTCACTGCCTTCCTGTCTCCCTGCAGCCCCCGAGCCGCGCCTGGACCCGGGCTCAGGATGGAGCCATTCTGGAGAAGGCTGTACTCAGGGCCTCAAGGACTTTCCGCTCTGGGCGACCCGAGCCGTACATGCTCTAAAGACCCTGCCCCAGGGTTTAGCCCTTGGCCCCTCACTCGTCGAGAAACAGCGCTTGGGGGTTTGGTGTGTCCGGGAGCCTCTGCAGCCAGGACTGCTCTGGGGGCCGCTGGAAGAGGAGCCAGTCTCCAAGCAGAAGGGCGAGGGAGTGAAACAACGGCAGGAGAAGGTAATGAAGGATAGGGTGTTTAATCTTTGTCACTGAAAATTTGGAAGCGATTCAGACAGCTTCTGGACAGCTCTCCAGTTTGTTAGAAGCAGCAGGGCATTTCTGGAAACAGGAGATGGTTTGTCCTCTCCAAAACTGTCTCTTCTCCTCACCTGCAGTAGTTAAGAAGTTGAGATGCAAAAAGCTGTTAAAAGCTGGATTAGTATAGCGTCATTATTGATGAAAGTCAAGAGCAAAGGTTTTGGAATTACAGAGCATGGGATCAGAGCCTTAGTACTTAAGCTAGTTAAATCGCATGTCTCATTTAACTTAATAAGATAAAGGAATGGCTGTTTATTTTAATCCTCCAGGATTATTCGGAGGAATAGATGAAATACCAAGGGTAAACGGTTTTATTGCATAAAAGGTACTAAAAAAGAGAGTTGATATTCCTCTTACTACTTTTTCTGTTTGGTACCCACTGGAAGGCAGTAATGTGTTCAGTTTAGTAATTCTCCACACCCTTGGAGGGAGAGTAGGGGACAGTCTTTTTGGTTTTTACTGAATGAGAAATCAGACAGCATAGCCCAATATAGGCAGAACTGGAGACCATGAACCTTCCAGGGGCTTCATCTTAGATCTGTTTCAGGAGAGGTTACATCTGTTTTGGTTTTGCTTTTAAGCCCACTCTGGTACCCTCAAACACATGAGAGAAGGACTTCTATTGGTTTATTTCAGGACATGTCACTAGGCCCATGGGGAGACGTGTGTGCTTGTGAGCAGAGTTCAGGCTGGACCAGGTAAGTTACAGGAGAGGATGTAGTCAAGACGTAGTCAAGTTGCTCCTTTGAGGCTTTCTCTCGTGGCATGGGATGGAACTGGAAGTGTACTGTAATTCCCCACCCAGTGATCTTTTGCAGGCATGGGGTCCTTTAGGACTCAGGCTGACAAAGAGCTGGGGCTTTCAGGGAGGGCCACTTGAAGAGGGTCTCTTGAGCTAGTTCTTGCTCTGCTTTGCAGTTTGGTGCAGCGGGGCAGGCTGGAGGGTGAGGGAAACGTGGCCCCGGTGTGGATCAGCGAGAGGCTCCACCTGCAGGTGTACCAGGTCGTGCTGCCAGGCTTTGAGCTGCTACTGTGGCCCCGGTCTTCCTCTGAGGGCCTCAGCACCCCCCAGCCGAGGCTAGAAGAAGAGGCAGCTGTGACTGTGGTGACAGAAGTGGAATCTGCTGTACAACAGGAAGTGGCCTCTCCTGGGGAGGATGCAGGAGAACCTTGTACAGGTGTGTGTCAAATAAATGCTGACCTCCCAAATTATCGCCAAACAACCTATGGATAAGACAAAGCAGAGCTTATGGCTCAAGAAGGTAAGGTAGAGCACTAAAGAGCCTTAGTAGCTTTTCTGAGTGGGGAAGGGCAAAACCTGGATATTTATTGAAATTTTGAAGTCTGGCATAAGGTGGATCTTTCAATGTGGGATTGGGGCAGGGCTTGCTTTGGATTGGTTAAGGAGCACGACATAATACTATATTAGGATTTGTGAACATAGGAAGGCTAGAATTTTCAGGCAGGAGGTTCAGAGTTGTGGGGTATAAACTGTCATTTGATGCTTTCTATTGAAGGGTGAGGAATCTTTTCTTTGGGATGAACAATATGAATATTTGCCACTTTCATCTTCCTGAATAAGTTTCCAGGAATAGTAAGGTCATGTTGATGAAGACAGCAAGCCATATATAGGTTTTTAATTTACTACGTTTCTTCTGTCGGGGGTGGGGATTGGTTCCTTTATTTTCAAATGAGCTAAGGTGAGGAGGTCGGTGGTCTCAACTTACCTTAAGTTCATGTCTCCAGAGGGAGAACAAGGAGACTCTGGGATGGCTTTACTCCAGGGTTACCCAGATATCTGGGGCACTGTGGTTTCCAGGAGTGCTTCCCCAGGAAGCACCTGAGACTGGACAGGAAGATAAATGGAGTGTGTGGCTCATGCACCAGGGAAAAGATTGATGTCATTGCTCCCACTGAAGTCTGGGGGCTGCATAGAAGACACATTCCTATAATTTCCTGGTGACACCATTGTCACCACCTACTAAAATCTCTACTGACCCCAGCACTCCACTCTTGCTTTGCAGATCTTGGTCACCAATCACCTCCCAGCATCCAGGCAGAGAGTATAGTGAGCTGTGGACTTAAACCCCAAACCCAGGACCAACTTTCCAAGGAGAGTCAGTCACTTGGTCCATTGCCTCAGGATGGCAGCATGGATGAGGAGGACCTGCCCCAGACACAGATGCCAATTGAACCTCGGAGCAGCTCCACTACCCAGCGAGTCCTACAGAGCAGTGAAGCCACTTCCTCAGCTTCTGCCGGCAGCACCCAGCAGCATGCTCACCTAGTCAAGAAGTTACATAGCCCCAGTAATCAGTGCCCACCCAGAGCAAAGACCTCAGAGCCCAGGGCCCAGCAGAATGGAGAGCAGCACCCCAGTTTCTCTGCACACTTGGGGAGCCCTCCTGTCCCAGCAGGAAGCTCCCCGAAACGGGGGCGACGATACCGGTGTGGGGAGTGTGGCAAGACATTCCTGCAACTGTGCCACCTGAAGAAGCATGCATTTGTACACACAGGCCACAAGCCCTTCCTTTGCACTGAGTGTGGCAAGAGCTATAGCTCAGAGGAGAGCTTCAAAGCCCACATGCTGGGCCACCGGGGGGTGCGGCCCTTTCCCTGCCCTCAATGTGACAAGGCCTATGGCACCCGGAGAGATCTCAAAGAACACCAGGTGGTACATTCAGGTGCTCGACCCTTTGCTTGTGACCAGTGTGGCAAGGCCTTTGCCCGCCGGCCTTCCCTGCGACTGCATCGTAAGACCCACCAGGTGCCAGCTGCCCCTGCCCCATGCCCATGCCCCATATGTGGGCGGCCCCTGGCCAACCAGGGCTCTCTGCGGAACCACATGCGGCTCCACACGGGGGAAAAGCCCTTCCTGTGCCCACATTGTGGCCGGGCATTCCGCCAGCGGGGCAACCTACGCGGGCACTTGCGACTACATACAGGGGAGCGCCCTTATCGCTGCCCACACTGTGCTGATGCCTTCCCCCAGCTTCCTGAACTGAGGCGTCATCTCATCTCCCACACTGGGGAGGCCCACTTGTGCCCTGTGTGTGGGAAGGCCCTCCGAGACCCCCATACACTGCGTGCTCATGAGCGCCTGCATTCAGGGGAGAGGCCCTTCCCGTGCCCCCAGTGTGGCCGTGCTTACACACTGGCTACCAAGCTGAGGCGCCACCTCAAATCCCACCTGGCTGACAAGCCCTACCGTTGCTCCACCTGTGGTATGGGCTACACTCTCCCCCAAAGCCTCAAGCGGCACCAGCTCAGTCACCAGCCCGGGGTGCCCTCCAGCCCACCCTGTGTGCCTCTTGATGCTTCTGAGTCCACTGTGGTCTTACTGCAGACTGAACCAGAATTGCTGGACACATGCAATGAACAGGATGTCTCCGCAGCCCAGCACGTCTTCGAGGTCACCGTTTCTGAGAGCCAGGATAAGTGCTTTGTGGTGCCAGAGGAGCCAGGCCCCACCCCCAGCCTGGTGCTCATCCATAAGGACATGGGCTTTAGCACCTGGGCAGAAGTGGTGGAGGTGGAGACGGGCACCTGACACCCTCACGTTTCCCTAGCAGAGCTCTATATAAAGACTGTTTTCTAGGTGCTGGGTGTCTGGATCTTCTTTTTCTTTGGGTTGCCTGATAGAGACTAGAGTGTACTAGGAGAAGCAGGTCAAGGACTTCCCTTCCTGCTTATGGACTATCAAATTGTTTCCTAATACTTTAAGGTAAACCTCTTAAGATCTTTTTATCCACTTCTAGTAGAGCTTGTTCTGACTCTTACCCTAGGAACTCCCCAGGTGCTTATTCTTGAAGCATTTCAGAAGTGGCCCGTGCAATGAGGTAGTCAGGTTAGCTGGCAGGGTGCTTAGTGCTGGGATAGTCATTCC